TTACATAACCCCCCAGATCAAATTTGAATGTACGCCACTGATTATACTTATACACATATTAAAATTACATGGTTTTTTTTTTAGGTACCTAGTACCTGTCAAAATATTATTACGCGTACAATGTTCATAAACATATATACGTCCAACATTCAAAAGTAAACATTATCCTTCAGAATAACATTTTAGTCTTTTGATTAATTCTTAAAAAAATTGACATTTTTTTTTGTTAAGTTTTATTTTTATATTTTTAACGAAATATCGACTTTTTTATACTAATTTAAGAATAACATATTATTTTCTAATACTAATTATTACAAATCCGGCAACTACGAAAAGTAATGTATAGTTATATTTTTATATTGGTAGGTTTCCAGGTACAGTGTAACAACGAAGTTCATGGATAAAATGTTTAAACGAAGAACGTTAATCTATTTTGATTTTACATATTAATATAATATTATAACATAAAGTATACAACACTGTAAGCTATACAAAATACTAAATAGTGACAAGTACCTTTACATTTTCGTATATTATTATGTTATATATGGGTACTTGTGTATTATAATGGGTTCGAAACTATAAATTACTACCTATATTATATAATATACGATGAAAACTAAGAGGTCGATCGATTCTACTTAACGAAAATGAAGAATGTATTTTACCAATTAGATATGTTGCAAACGTTAATCATAATATTTTACGGCGATCGCCAACTGTATACAAAAATACAATAGGTCTGGCGATCATCGTTCGTAATCTCACTATAATGCCTAGTAAATATGCCTGGAAGCGATATTTCGTACGATAACGCTAAAAATCAAACGTAAAACTTAAATTATTCAAAAACTCGATAAAAATGATATTTACACTTTATAACAAAATATTACATATACGATAATTTATAATACGTATACGCGTAAAAAAATACGTAAATATAGGGTACATAAACATGGAACGAAATACGAGCCTACAATTCAAAATATACATGTATATAAAATATGTATAATAGGTATATTATAATGAAGCTTTAAACAAACATTTAACATATAAATGATATTAACAATATTATGATTTTTTAAGCTTATATTTTAAGAGTCACATTCAGGCTTATATCCTAAATTTTTCCGCTGTAAGAATAATTGTATTTCTCGGAAATTTGGACGACTTTTGTCGTCTCTCTGCCAACACTCACACATGAGATCGTAAATTTCTTTCGGGCAATTGATGGGCTGAGGCAATAAGATCTGAAATTCATTAAATAATACAATTAATACACAATGTTATTAATAATTATAATAATTGTAACATTGGACAAAATCGTATTTTCGGCAAAGCCGATTTTCATTTCCAACAATAATATGAATTTATTAATGTTTTGAAAAGTATAACACAGATCAAAGAAATATGAAGAAGCGATGAGTTTCTTAGTTATTAAACTATTTAGCATTATTATAGAATAATTCAACAAACATCTCGGGATTTTTCAAAATAATATTTGTTTTATTCCATATAAGTCAACAAACTAATTATAATGAATACCAAATTTAATATATTGTATACAGAGTGATCCATTTAAGTGGTTACACTAATTATTTTGAAAAGTATTAACTTTTTAAAAATTTTTTTTTTTAACTTTTAGGTTTATGTTTTTCTAAAACCGTATAATATTTTCARTTTTTCCTTTTTTATATCTAATATAGTTTATATTTATTGGTAAAACCTCTCACAAATTTTAATTTTCAAATGGCAATATATATAGGTAATACAAATATCATGAAATAATAAACCATTTTTTTTTTTTCATGAATTTACGACAGTCGTGTTAACATTTTTATTTTTCGTTAATCGGTTTGCGAGATACAGCTCAAAAAAGTATTGGTAGATTTTACTATTTTTCCAATAATTGTAACGACTGCTGCTAGTGATTAATTCAATATCGTTGAATCAAARGTAACAAAATAAATAACAATTATTTAAATATTAGGTACTATTGTACTTTGAACTCTAATCATTTATTAACTTATCAACTAATTTGACATACAATATGACAAATTTATTTTGATMGCAATTTCACAGATAATTATTTAAAAATTAAAATTTTGTCACACAGAACTCTATCATATTTAAGACTGARGTATTATACCTTGATAAGTCYATGACTGGTTTTATAATTAGAACATGATTGTAATATTATGCAGAAAGTAAATAATAACTAAGTGATTATAATGCGCAACGATTTAAGGTAGTTCTATMAATTATATGATAATATATTAATATGAATTACAATATTTACAATCATAATAATAATAATAATACTGATTAGGGTGGAGGTTAACAGTATTTACATATAGACTAAGTAAGTACTATTGTCTATTGTCTATTTCACATTCGTTTCTTTGGTGACTACGGTTCATGCATGATTTAAGATAGTTATAACCGAATATTTTCCGTGTTCCTAATACTTATAAATTTATAATCATATTTTATTTCTTCAAAACTAGAAAAAATATTAAAAATCAGGAAATTAATGAAAATAAAATTTTGAAACGTCAATATTTTTAGAAAAATAATCTCTACAAAATGGCCATCTTTAATTTTTTTTAGAAATAATTAAATAAAAAAATATATTTCTTAAATTTTTTACAAAAACATTAAAATAAATTTAAAAATGAAGTAACTGTAGTTCATATCCCTATGAATCTTACTATAAAACCAGAATTTTGGTATCTCCATTATTTCGTAAGATATCGCAATGGGTAAATCCTCGCGGGACACCATGTATATACATACATATACATAATACATATATATACATATTTACTAAAAAATAATGAATAAAAAAAGCGGGTAAGTGGATGTCGCTCTACTGTACAGTATAGTTTACAAGTGGGTTACTGCAATGGACGGTATTAAATTTGAATTCAATGATACATCGTTGTATACGAAAAATGATTCTGAGTGGAGACGGTTTGTCAATTGTCAGTCTAGGATATGTTGTACTATATTAATTGGAATGTTGTTATTTCAAAAAAAAAAAATAAATATGTAGGTACTTCCAAAATAAATTCCAAATTAATTAATATTCATTATGTACCTGACTCATTCAGTCATTCTGCATTCATATTAGGTATGTACATTTTATTATAAAGTATTAATATGAGTCATTACATTAAATTTAACAAGGGTTATTTTTCTTTGAACTYTTTGTTCAAACGTTTACTCGTAATTGAAAATTTATTTGAAGTATTAATATTTACCTACTGAGTTTTTCAAGTTAAATAAATAAATATTTAAATTTTTTTGCGAACTATTTTCAATTGATTTTAAACATATCGGATATGACTACTTATACTTATATTTAATAGTATTTTGAATTTGATTTTTTTTTTTTTTATTTGTGTAAGAAAATTAACGAACAAATACATGATGTGCTTTTAAAAGTTAACGTCATAATTATTTCATAAAACAAATTTAAAATTATATTAAAATACTAGTTTTATATTATTTTTTGTTTTTAGTTTGCAATAATTTATAGCAATCAAAGAATATAAATATATGTTAAGTTGTTTTTGTATAAATATATTGTTGGACACGTGTATGGTGTATATTATGACAATATATTTATTTAATATTCGTGGATGACAAGGGATCGAAATAGAGCGTCCAACCATTATTTTTAAACATTTTATTTTAACATTTTTCGTTAACTGAAAAATTATTTTATTTCAAGTTGAACACTGGGCGTGTTGTAGAATACAATATTTACTTCTGAACTGAATAAATAAGAAGTGCGGCACAGAATCGTCGTTGGGTCATAGTGAGAGGGGATGTGAAATGACGGTAAGGTAGAAGTTTTTTTTTACTCGTCACAGTAATACAACAGCTAGTATGCTGCAGTATAGTTATAGTATGGCATCGGTGGGTAGCATTTATAGCGGTGTAAGGTGTAAAATATGAAAATGAGAAACCGTATATACCTTTTTCTCCCCTCTGAAAATGAAGTTCAGTAACTTAACAAATTTCAAAGACACGTTTTCACGACTCTCGGTGAAAAGTTGGTTTTACATGTTTATTGTGAAGAATAAATGTGATGATGATAAAAAGTAAAAATCCCTAGAAATGTCTTAAATAAGTGTTTAGAAATGTACAGTCAATCAAAAACAGCAATAAAATATGCCTATAGCAATATGGGTTGCAACTGTTACAAGCCGTCTCCGTTTAAAATCATTTTTTATTTACAATGATAAAATATCATTTAATTCAAATTTAACGAATCTACTTAAGTGACCCCCACAATACATGTATGAATACTGTACAGCAGAGCAATGCCCACCTTTTTAAATATTTATTTTCATTTTTAAAAGTTTGGTAAAAATAATGATAATAAATTTAAAAACGAAAGAACGTAAATAATGCCAATGTTTCTTATTGTAATAAATAAGTTACGAATGAAAAACAAAAAGACGAAAATAATTCATAATAATATAATTATTAGGTATCTACGTAATGATATGGCCGATTAACCGTTCGTCGTAGTAAACGTACCAGAATTGCCTATATACGGAGCGTATTTTGTTGTTTATTAAGATATCGGTACTAACTATTATGTATAATTGTGTCTATTTTCCAGCACTGTTGTATATCTACAAGTTCACCATGCAACGATATGCATATTATTATAATTTCTGTGCGCTTGAAATGATGTCTAAACGGTGCGGCAGAAACTCGTTGAAACTTTTCGCGTGAACACGGCCCAAAAGTTTTCTAATAACAAATTAACAGTGGCGCACGTAAAAGTAGTTCATTCGCATAAAATAATAATGTAAATACTGGGACGTTACGTATAGATCAATCGAAAGTTAAAACCCCAACGACGTTCTAATATTRTAATTATTATAAAATCGATTCTTTCTGTACAGTCTACCACCTAGTGGAAGTACACGTACCTACTTATAATATATTTTGTAGTTATTCTAGAAAAATACAAAATATCATGTAATACATTTCACAGGAATATAAAGACAATCCTAGTTACTATAGATACGTGTGTATGTTATTTTAGACAATTTTTAGTCCCAATTATTACATAACGCTTTTAAAATAATATGTCACGCAATGTTATACAATGAAAATATAATTCTGAAAATTAAAAAAAAACATCACTTGGTGCCAAGTTTTAATTAAAATCTATAATAGTTTGATATAGTAGTTTGTGCGTGATCTATAAAACTATTGATATAAAAAATACATATATTTTATTCGTTCAGTGTTACTTACTTTCTTGGTGKCAATGTATACCTACAATTGAGGGGACAAAATATTAGAAGAGGATGAAAAGCTGTATATTATGAATCTGAGTTAGCACTATCAACGTGTCAAAACAAATGATAATACATATTAATATATTATGTGCTTTTCGCAAGTATATGAGCGAGTTGTTTCCCAATATTAAGTTAAATCGTCAATATTTAGAATATTTTCGTATATCTGTTTTTATAAAAATAGTAGGAAGGAAATATTATACCATTATTTTATCATAGTGTATATAATTGATAATTAATATGTCCTACTTCATATAAAAAAAATATGGAGATATTCTTGTAAATTAAAAAGTGTCTACTTACTCATGCGATGGGTTATTTTTTTTGTATGATAAAGTGTTATAAATAACACCTAACGTATAATAAAAATAAAACTCACAAAATTTCCATCGTTCTGGTACAGCCTGGTGACGTTGTCAATCACGTGTTGGTCACTGAGTTCTTCATATGGCTGTTCTCGGGCGAATGTCAGTATTTCCCACAGTGTGACGGCAAATGACCAAACGTCGCTCCTCGGTGTATATTTGTTCTGTATACGAAAACACGTGAGTGGCGACGTTAAAATAATATATTTATAGAATAAACATCCAAGAGTTGCATTGCTATTATTATTATTACTATCATTATTATTAATACAATCAATCAATGTTTTTTTTTTTTTTACCAAAAGTATGCTCTCCCATGACATCCAGCGGATCGGTAGCGAAGGCCTCCCCTCAAAGTCAAAATAGTCCGCTGAGTAAACACTCTTGCTCAGACTCATATTGGACACTTTGACCGTATAATTGGGACCAACCAAACAATTTCTGTGGAATAAATAAGGGATAAATCATATATAAAATAGAAGTTTCAGATTTCTTCCATAATTTTATGTAATAGGTAATTATAAAATACGATGTTATACCAGATGATTATAATAGTAGTCTCTAGATTTTTTTTTTTATCGTTAACCTACAACGATCAGCAATATCGCAATGAGTTTTGATTTAAACATGTTTTTTCCGACAAATTTTTGATTTACTTTTATATGATCTGATTTCTTATATAATTTTATAAGTTTATTATTCTAGTTTAGTATCTACATTAAGATGTATTTTCTTCAATATTGTTCATACTAAAAAATCTGACAATGAGTGTGTATCTAGTGATAAAGGTATCTAGGTTTCTTTTCTGTATATTATATCTTGTYGWTAATAATCATAAATCAAATTGTCTAAAGCTTTCTATCACTTTCAATATGTATGCATTCTTATATCATGAATCATGATTGTATAGACGTCTTAAATGACTTAAACAATTATACGTAYACATCGATAGAAACTCTCCTACYTTGATTAATAAATATACGCTAATAAAAGCTAAAACTAAACATGTTTTTAAAAAATTAAAAATTTTCTATTAAAATTTTTTTTAAATTTTGTTATGCATATTATTATTATTGTCGAAATTTTAGTGCTATTTATAACGTACACATTGGCATTTTTTAAATGCTTAAAAGTGATTTTTAGTGTTATAATTTGCAAGCCCTTTTAAAACTATAACGTCACGAAAATATTGTAACATTTCGTTTTGAATTCATCATCAGATGAGTGTGTTTTAAATTAAATTTGATGCGCAGTAATTCGTCGTTATTCGACTGCRCGCTATATCTTACATGTATACAAGATGCTGTTTTTTAATAAAATAAAACAYAAAGGCGAGTTTAAAGTTTTAAGTAAACTTTCACATTGCTCGTTATAGAAATAAGATATATTATATACATATATAACAGCCGGAATCACTCACCAGTCATCAGTCATGGTACGAACGTTTCATTTTAGCGTAAACGTTGAAAATGTATTCGCTACATTCAATAACAACTGCATACCCAAATGAGAATTAAATGTAGAAATATTCATGCAATGTTACTTTAAATGGGTTATTATGCCATGATAAACATATTATTAATCTTTTCTTTTTTTAATTTTCGTGAATAACCGYAATAGTTAAACATTTCAAACTTTTATCGTCTTATAATAATTTAATGTAATATACAATTACTTTAATGAATTTATGAATGTACCATTGTAAAATGTTTAGCATAAATGATATTATTGTTTAGGTATGTGAAATATTTAATGAAATATTATCCGAGCAGTGAATCGTATTAAGTAAATTATTTTCAAATGTCTGCTAAGACCTATCTGATTTAGACATTATTATGGGGTTATCGGTAAGCAGGAAAGAATCATTCTCGATTCCCCTCATTCTTACAATATATATAAATTATCTAGATGGGTATAATTTAAATATGACGTATTTAARGATGGAAAACCCAGCAAAAAGAATATAAGGTCTAAACTCAACGAAGAAGTGAGAATAAACACTTTGAAAGCCGACAAAATTTGTGTAGTCAAGTTTTGCAAAATATTTCAAAGAGGTAATTATTGTAAATGTTAAACAATTATTTTGTACCTTTACATTATTAACATACACTATTTTTATCCGTAAGCATAGATATTAGTAATATATGTATATTATACCAGCTGAACCCGTGCGCTTTGTAGCCTGTTAAAAATCCCTACCTCTTTTATGGCTCAATTTGTGTGTTAAATTCATTTCCTGTGATTATGCTAGCAGTATATTTTTATATACATAATATAGATAGATAACGGTTAAAATATATTAAGTAATAATCTTACAACGATATTCAATTTAGTTTATCATTCTATAAATTTATTCGTTTTATCGAGAAAAATCCGACACTTAAAATATTCAATTGAATGATATTTTGGCCTATCACTTTTTAATTTAGCCTATATTCTGACCGTAGATCCAATAAATCTCTGTACCAATTAATTTTGTCGCAATCGGTTCAGYAATTGGAATGGTGTGTAATTCTGKCAATTTTACTTATAATTTTACCTGTTGCCTCATTCTTAAATTTGAATGCTCTAAAATATATGCATAATTTATCCATTTTTCCAATAACCACGCTTGGATGAATACTGTAATAATAATTATACCAAATTTCGTCGCAATCAGTCCGCTAATTTATTGGAATCGGAATATATAAAGGATAAACAGACAGAAATCCATTTATATATAAATATATATATATATATAGATCTGTTTGTCCTATATACATTCCAGACTGGACCAATTATTGTGACGAAATTTTGTACAGAGTATAAGATCTATGGGCAGAAGTAGGCTAAGTTAAAAAGTGATAGGCCCAAACATATAAATTAAAAAATTAAAAGTTAAAAAGTCTTGACATTTTTAATGACACATATAGAATATATTTAAGTTAAAAAATAATAATTATAAATAAATATTATTCTCAAATCCTATAATCCATAGCAACCATTAATGAACAAAAATTTCTATCGTAAATCTAGCCGACCCTGTGCACTTTTCCCTTATAAAAAATGACAACCTTTTAAAAAATTGTGATTATTCAAATCCTTTTGGATGTAATTCATAGCAGTAAATTCAATTCAGCCACCATGGTAGAAAATCCGTAGATTAGCAGCTATTATATAGTACAACTCATCCTACTTTAAAATACAAATTTGAATTAATTATTACTCTTATAGTAGTCAATAGCAACCATTTTTAACCAACGGCAACCAATAATAATAATTATAATAKCTTTAAAATCCATGGCAACCATTTATAAACAAATATTTCTATTATTAATCTCAAAATTCCTGTTGAGCATCTCCCGGGGGTGATCAGTTCCCTTTTTAAATTAGTTTAAAACGTATCCTCACACGTACCAAATATACACTGAAAAATTGATGAAAATCGGTCAATCCGTTTCAAAGGAGTTCAATAACTAACACTGTGACAATATGACTTATTTATATATTAGATTATATAATTTTCTGAAATTAATTGTACAATTTATCTATAAATCAGTCAGCTCAATGCAAGTATATTTCTAATAATATTATGACATGTTTTTTTTTGGAATAGTTTTAAACATAAATTTATTATGTACCATCTAAATCGTTAAGTTTCTGTTTAAAAAAAATATAATTAAAAAAATAAAATATGACTTAAAGAAGACAAATTAAAAAAAACTTTTACACTTTTAATATTGTTTTAAAACTGTTCAAAGAATTTAAAATATGTTTATTTTTTATACAAAATGTAGAATATATGAAATTAATTAAAATTGAAAAAAAATTTATTTGAAACGTTATCCATACACCACCATATTTTTGTTCTCAGAGTAATTTGTTTATTCAACTTATCTCTCCCTGGTACAATCAATCAACATTAAATGTACTAAATTATTGGATTTCTTATTTAACGAACATATTATAGAATACAAAAAAGAAAATTACGTCGAATATGACAATTTTTCCTTAGATACTAGTAGAAAATAAGGATAATTCATTGAAGAACAGTTAGTCTGCATCAATTACTTGAATAAAATGTTTTTTTTGCTAACATTTTTGATTACAACGAATTTTAGCTGTTGATACAGTTAGATAATTTATTAATTTAAGCTTCTTATTAAATAATTAGTAGCCATTTTATTTATTATTTTTAACTAAGTATAGCACACCAATTATAATTTATTTCTTATGCTTAAAATAAAATATATAGGTATATAAAATATTACTTCAGGTTTATTTCTGCATTATATTGCTCATATTGACTTATTAATAGCAACTTTRTACATTTTAAACATCACAAAATTAATTAACTTATAACTTTATGAGTTGTGAAGTATCTATACTTATAAAAATTATGTTTTATACTTATACCTAACTATCAAATATTGCTGTACTAAAAAGTTTTTGAGTGTGTTGAAAAATACAATCATTTTTATATCTTGTATTAAGTAATACCTACTATTAAAGTAGATAATAATTGTTTTAGTATAATCTATTTCTGTTACTGTTATTTGTTTAAGCACTGCTGTAACTAAAGATCSATTCAAGTAGGTTTAATAGTTATGTTTAAACTTTTAAATGATTGGATTCTACGAAAAACAACTCTTTGCGCCAAATGTTTATCGTTTTTAACTGATTTCAGTAATTTGTTTTTTATTTCAAACTACAATAATAATCAACATATATTTGACAAAATTGTTTTTATGTATAGCATATTATATAGAAATTAATAAATCACAGTGTCTTATTGACGGTAAATCATTAAATAGTTTTGATTATTATTAACTGTTTTCGCATTCAACGGCTGTTCTTACCTTGCAGCCAAATCGCGATGGACGAAATTTATAACCTCTAAATATTTCATCCCCGAAGCTATTTGGGTGGCCATGTGTATTAGACATCCATAACTAGAAAATTAATGCATAATATCACTTATTAGTCACTACTCATTAGGGATTAGAAATCTTATGTACACAAATCATATAAGATTATAACCAGTACAACCTTAAAGTTTTCGCGTACGGTGGTATTGGCGCAGCGGTCAGGGCTATGTGTTCCTGTAGAAACTGATTCAGATCGCCATGTTCCATAAATTCGGTTATTATACAGAATGGTTCCTCGGTTAGGCAGCATCCTAGTACTCTAGTGATATTTGGATCTCTGATTTTCCACAGTGATTCTACTTCGTCGTAAAAATCGTGCCTGTAATAAATAAAATAAAATATACATACATTATACACGTATAAACGAGTAAAAACAATTCGTATTAGCTTGTGCATGGGTAATATCGGTAAATGTATTTATAAATTTAATAGTTGATGAATATTTGAAAGAATAAAATAAATTAGAAAATGAATCAAATATTCCAGATAAACATGACATCGTGGCAATTGAAAATAAACCATATTATTATACATCATACGCACGAGAATCTACATTAGTATAGATTACAAGATTGTATACAATTACTATGACATTAAATGGGTTTTTATTGAYATTGTATGAAGACTATAAATTCCAATTTTCGATCAAGTGGTGTACCTATATATATATACAACTCACATACAATATTATGGTACACTGCTTTTTTTTTTAAAAAGAAAAAAACGATATCAACGTATTTGCATTAATGATGATAGTTTCCCAAACAAGATGTTATCGGTTTTGCAATTGAGTAATGGGCATATTATAATATAATAGAGTTTGAGTGCGTAATGGGCCCCAGTAATTTCCCATGGACAAACTGCGAACTTCCTGCAGTGCAAAAAATTTGCTCAATTAGTAAACTGTGGAGTGTAAAATTGTTTTTTTACTTGGTCGATTCAGACACGCCTTTCCTCAGCGACTTCACGGTGACCAACTTGCACGTCTTATTGACAGACTTAGTTGGCTGTAGCATTTCGTCAGATGGTGTTTTCATTTCACACAAATGGACCTGCGCATAAACGTTTAGTTATTTAGCATATAAAATAATGAATGTTATAATTTTTCAGAGATTAGAGATGTAGTTTTTACAGTAAATTATACATTTGATTGTGTTGATTAATTAATCTATGTAAGGATAAAATAAATGCCTAAACTGAAAYTATATTCCACAAAAGGGATTCTTTAAGTTATTGTGATTCGACTACAAACACATTGAGTAATTATTGGTGTTTGTAACAATACTTCGAYGTGATACGGTAATAATGTCTGCGTATGATAAATATTTTTATTTAGATACCAAACTATTTTTATACCAAAAATATTTTTTAAATATAAAAAAACTATTCAAATATAATAGGATTTGTTGATATTTTTATATTTTACTGCTATTCAATATAAAGTAGTRGGTACCTACAATTCAATACTATATTCTCCTGCAACTTAAAATCTCGGGTACAAACATGCTTACCACAAGACATTTTCTTAAAAGACCAACCTGACAACTAACAAAGATAATATTTCTTTGTTTATTTATGTTTATTTGTATTTATCGTAAAAACATACAGTAGGTTGTAACAATTGATTTTTTAAATATATATAAGTACATTTTACACATATTATGTACTATGACGTATTGCTACTTGCCTCTCCAAAATGCGTCTTTGTCAGTGTTTGGACGACGCCCAGGTATTCCCGGGGGATTTCTGGTGGTAACTGRCAAAGCGTGTCGTCGGACCTGGTAAGCGGACAAGTGGACGCATTGCTGGCACCTCCTCCTCTGCTGCTACTCGACCTGGATGACGTAGGTGGTGGCGATCGGGGTGGTGGTGGAGCATT